GCACAGCTCAGCCTTGGACACTTGCTGCTGGATGTGGAAGACCAGGAGAGAGTGACCTGGGGTAGAGTGAGGGTCAGGGGGTCAGATTTACCTTTCTGCATTGGTCCTGGGGCAGGGACACCCTGACAGTCCTGTGACCACCCAGACACAAGGGGCACTGGCCACGGCCATAAAAAGAGGGGACAGGACCCTGACACCTCTAGCAGACTGAATGTGAGGCCCTCACATTGGGGCGGATTCCAGTTTTGTTCTGATTTGGAGAATGGGTGCGTTTTCATGCCACTGAGCTAGAAGGGAGAATCAGCAGGCCGAGTGGGGCCTGAGTGGGGAGCAGGCTCACTTTGGGGGCAGCTGGAATGTGAGAGTTGGCAGTGGGGAGAGGTGTTGGGTGCCCTGTGGCTTACCGGGGAAGGAGCAGTCAGGGCCAGAGCTCCAGGTCTGTGTGGGAAGTGGTTCTAGCCAGAGCTGGCCTCAGGGGGTGCACCAGGACAGCTGTTCCAGCGTTTAAAATACTGGTCAAGAGCCTCTGCCTGGAGCATCTCTCCCCGGCCCAGTGCACTCGGCCTCAGCACCCAGCCTCGGCCACTGTGGTCCCTCCTCTGGGGTCCTGTGTGTTCTCGTCACCAGCAGCGAGAGGGGAGGTCTGGCCAAACCTGGGCTCTCAGATCCTCCTTCTGCAGGACAGCCTCATGGATTTTCAAATATTTAAAACTCTCAGCCCTGATTAAGGCCATGATTTAAACCTGTGTTACTCTCTAAGGACAGCCGTAACAGATGATCACAGACCGGGTGGCTTGAAACAATAGAAATTTATCGTCTCACAATCTGGTGTCCAGAAGTCTGAACTCAAGGGATCGACATGGCGGTAGCTCCTCTGAAGGCTCTCGTTGAGAATTGTTTCTTGCCTCTTCCAGCTTCTGGTGGCTCCAGCTGCTCCTGGGCCTGTGACTGTGTCCCTCCCACCTCTGCCTCTGTCTCTGTCTTCCCAAGGGCTTGTCCTCTTGTGTCTCTAATCTCCCCTGCCATTTTTTTTAATGTTTATTTTATTTTTGTTGAAAGAGAGAGAGAGAGAGAGCAGGGAAGGGACAGAGGGAGAGGGAGACAGAGGATCTGAAGCAGGCTCTGCACTAACAGCAGAGACCCTGATGCAGGGCTCAAACTCACGAACCGTGAGATCATGACCTGAGCTGACTAACTGACTGAGCCACCCAGGCGCCTCTCCCCTGTGTTCTTATATGGGGACATTTGTCATTGGAATTTAGGGCACATCCAAATAATCCAGGGTGATCTCATCTGGAGCTCCTTAACTTTAATTACTTCTGGGTGGACATACCTTTTGAGAGGCCACCATCAACCCACTGGAAAACCTACAGAGGGCGAATTACAAGCAGGTTCTTTCTTGTGTGCAGCATTTCCCCCTTCCTTCAATGCAAAGACCTGAAGATTTGACGATCAGCCTGTTCTCTTCGTAAGGAGGTTGGGCTCAACTCTTACCAGTCATACATAGACACTAAATATATTTTATTGTGCTCCAGGTCCATTCATTTGCAGTCTTACTTGAGTTTAGTTTAGTTCTAGTCTGTGGCCTTGAAAGGTAGATCATGCATGCTACTGTCTCCTCCCCTGCATCTTTTCCCAAGAGAAAGGCAGAACACCTCCCAGGGAAGTTCTGAGGGATCTGGATAGGTGACAAGTGAAGCTTCAATGTAAATGGACAGCCCAGGTACACTACCAGAGAAATATTATGAAAAATACTTGAAACCCCACAAAGGATCTTAGGTTGCCTTTTCTAATAAAGATAATCATGTGGATAAGGGAAACTAGCCTCAGCCTCCCTCCCAGGCTTGATACTCACTATCATGACCACTTCACTGTTCCACCATATTTGTTCTCGAGATCTGCAGAAGAATCTATTCCGTGAGTGATACCTCCTTGGAGATCCTAAACCATGTATCCCTTTCTCGTGAATCACATCACTCTTCATGGGTAACCCCTTTAGCAAGGACAGGTACAGATACTATTTGAAGGGAGAGCTAATGTTTCAGTCACGTGGTTTGGGTCATCAGCACTCTGACCTTCCTAGACAGGCCATTGGACCCTGGGTTCCAACCTGAGGGCCATCTACAGAATTCTGTATCTGAGCTGGGGCACAGGGGAGGGTGCTTTGGTCCTGGATGGGACCCAGTGGTACTTCTGCATCAGAAACACAGTAAAACTCAATGCAACTTTGTTGAGCAAGCAACTGAATATGCAACCACAGGGAAATCAGGGCAGGTAGACCTGGCAAAAGGCAGGATACAGGAATCCAGGATCCTCTTGTACTTCTCTGTGGTTGGCTGAGAAACGAGGCAGTGATTGGAGCCAAGAGAAAGAAAATGGGAAGCCCAGACCAAGTGACTACTGGCTGAATCAGTCTGTGACAGTAGGGTCACCCGTGATTCCATCTGAATAATTTGTTATGTTCAGTTCCATTGGCCTGACAGTGCCTCACTGGCTGTCAAAGACTCATAATGACCTGGCACAGGAGAGAGGGCTGTCCCTGAGACCACGCTAAAGAGAGAGCCCCAAACTGTGCCATGGAACCTGTGCCATCACAGCCTACCCTCAGAACTTGTGTTAACGTTGGGTTATTACCCAGAGTCCAGTCATGATTCGAGCCAGGATGCCCATGCTCTTTCATCCCACTAGGGGACTATTTTGTGACTTCTGGCGACATGCTTTCCCATGTCACCTGATTTGGGGAAGTCACCCACTCGGGCTTGGAAGAGAGTTCACTTCCTCCTTTGTAACTGTAGGTGGGGCCTGGTGACCATAGAAGTCAGAAGGTGCTGGAGGGTAGTAAGATGGGTGGTGAGTCAGTGGGGCAAGATGGATGGGAACATCCCAGGGAGCTTGGAGCCATCAGTGGGATACATAACACCTTATTCTGTAATGGGATATTTAGCAGATTAGGAAATATTACCTTAGGTATTTTATAAGTCAATATTTCTGGTTCAGGCAGTGATACTTGGGGAAGTTGCAAAATGCCATCAGAGAGTGTTATGAACAAAATATCTTATTGTATAGTTTTCATAGAAGTATCTCTCCATGGGAATTATACATTATCTAGGACTTGGGGTGGGGGTTAGTTTTAGTACCTGGTCTGAAATTGTTTTTGAGAGGCTTGTGGTGTTTCTTTCTTTCTTTTTTTTTTTTTTTTTAAGTTTATTTGTTTGGAGAGAGAGAGGGAGAGTGCAAGCAGGGGAGGGGCAGAGATATAGAGATAATCCCAGGCATGCTGTGCACCATCAGCATGGAGCCCCATGTGGGACTCAAACTCACGAACAGTGAGATCATGACCTGAGTGGAAGCCAGGAGTTGGGCACTTAACCAATTGAGGCACCCTGGCACCCCTGTTTGTAGTGTTTCTAAGGAACCTGGTCTACTGGAGTCTCATGTACAGAGCTCATTAGTGGTGGGACAGGCTGTGGTACTTCTTCATAAGCATTTGGTCCTGTCAACGAAGGCTGCCTTGCAGATCAATCCCCACCCTTAAATATAAGGCTGGGTATGGGACTGTTCCACTTTCCTCCCTCAGGACAGTGTGGGGAAGTCGAGGCCAAGAGAGGTCTGAGGGAAGGTATCTTGCCCCTCTACCATTGGGTGCTTTTATTCCCTTCAAGAGTTGCCTTGGGTGTGGCTCCCACAGTGGGCTGTGGCAGCCGTGGAGCTGAGCCTGACCATCTTTGCCTGGCCTCCAGGTCACCCTCGGCCTCCACTGCCCCACCCTTGAAGCTCCCAACCCCCCCTTTCCTCCTCTTCTACCTTCCCTGCCCTGTGCCACCATCTGCTACCTCAGAGCCTGCATCACACTCTGGGCTGCTTGATGGGGGGCCCCCAACTAGAACACAAACTCCCAAGAGCAGGACCCAGGCACCCTCATCCTGCCTGTCTCCACCCCAGCACCAGACTGAGCCCCAGAGGGAGCCATTACTGAATCAGACCATGGCAGCAGGACCAAGAAAATGCTTCACCTCAGGGCATGGGAATTCTTTTCCCCATGATCTTTTAAAAGTTAAAAAAAAAAAAAAAAAACTCTTCCACCTTGAAGAACTCTTAAACACACACACACACACACACACACACACACACACACAGATGTGAGCGCTTTATGTACAGCAGTTCATATGCCAGTGCCCACTCATGACAACCCATTATGATGCCCATTGTACAGATGAGCAAACTGAGGCCAGGGAGGTTACCAGACCGCTCTAAGTCATACCACTGGTGAGTATGGGACTGGGTTTTGAATCTAGGCAAGGAGGCTCCTAGATTCCTGCTCTTAAATACCAAGTATACTCCCTCTCAAACTATTTTCCTTGGTGGTGAAGGCAAGTTATGCCAAATGAAGATTTATAAAACCCTGAAAATAATTTAGAAATTTTAAATTAGCAATAATATCACCAACAAAGATTTGCTGCTATTAATGTTTTACTGTACCTCTTTCTAGATCTTTCTCTGTGCTTGTTTTGGTACCATGTTGCCAGTGGCTGCTAAAAATTCCAAAGTATGGATTACTATAATTTACTTATTCCTGTCCTTTCTGTAGAATATCTTGCTTCCAACTGCCAATAACCATTTGATCAATTGCTCTGCTCTCACCATTCTTATACATGGAGTTCCTTCATATTCTGGACAAGGGTCACCAGACAATTTGCTGGCAATTCCACAAAGTCTTTTTTTGCTTTTTTTTGTTTTTGTTTTTGTTGGATTTTTGTCATTTTAATAGAACGATTTCAAAACCTATGAGAGTGGCACTGTTTTCCCTGCCACATACACAGACAAGTTCTCAGATTTAAATATTGTCACTAGGAGTGAAAATGTCTCCTTGGTGTTTACCATCCAAGACCCCTATGCCACAGATATTCATGAAGAAGGACACCTGTAGCACCCACAGAGAAGCTACAGGTGATCATGAGATCCTCTTTAAAATGAAGAGTAACCTCATTTCTCCCTGCCAGGTGAAATGGCTCCAACAACAAGAAGTTAAACGCAGGGTGAAGAGGCAGGTGCGAGGTGACCCTCAGGCCCTCTATTTCAACGACCCCATTTGGTCCAACATGTGGTACATGGTGAGTAGGGTGTGGGCCTTGCTGCCCCCAGGGCGTCGGCAGCGCTGTGTTCCCGAGATGGGTTCAGTTCCCCCAGCAAAGTTAAATTCTCACGACAACTCGAAACAGACACACTTCATATGGGTGAGAAACCCCTACTTTTTAATGCTGGGTAGCACAAACTTTCTCATGAAAATTTTTTAGAAATTATGTGAAAGTCTCCAGGGGGTGGTGGTGGAGCCCTTGAGCAGGAGAGTGATTTAAGGCAAACTCAGGACTAGTAGTGAAATGAGAGCCCCGCCCCCCCCCCAAAAAAGGGAGATAATGCCCTGGGAAAATGGGCAGGTAGATTGCCGGGTGCAGAAAGCATGTGGAGTGCTTCCTGGAAATGCGTGGGAGAGTCTCTCTGCTAAGGCATGGAGAAATGTTTCCTCCCCTACTGCATTTACACGGTATGGTATGTCTATCTCATGCCACAGTATGGGCGCAAGGAGTGCCCATGCTGGGGGGGCTTTGTGTCTTCTGTGCCTACAGCACTGTGGCGACAAGAACAGCCGCTGCCGGTCAGAAATGAACGTCCAGGCAGCGTGGAAGAAGGGCTACACGGGCAAAAATGTGGTGGTCACCATCCTTGATGATGGCATAGAGAGGAATCACCCCGACCTGGCCCCGAATTATGTAAGTCAAACCCAGAAACGTGCAAGGATATTCAACCATGCTAGTCATTAAATAAATCCAGATTTTAAAAACCATAAGGTGCCATTTCTCTCCCATCACCCACTGTAGTAAACAATATAGAGGGACACCTGGGTTAAATGTTGGACTCTTGATTTCAGCTCAGGTCATGATCTCATGGTCATGAGATTGAGCCCCGCATTGAGCTCTGTGCTGAGCATAGAGCCTGCTTAAGATTCTTTCTCTCCCTCTCCCTCTGCCCCTCCCTCATTCATGCTCTAAACAAACAAATAATACAGAAAACCATGTTGAGAAGGATTGACAAACCATACTTCCCTCTGCCTCCTGGAGCCCAGGATTTCACAGAACAATTTTTTTAGATGTTTGAGGAGTCACATGTACTTCTGGGAATAGATCCTAAAGAATTCAGAAACACTTGTGTGGATGATCGTCATACTAACATGAGCAACAAGGAACAGGACGTGATTAAAGCCTGGGCCCTGGACCCAACTGCCTGAGTTCCTATTCTGGCTCTGCAGCTGATTAGCTCTGAGACCTTGAGCAGGTTGCTTCACTTCTCTGTGCCTCAGTGTCACCGTCTGTAAAATGGTATCTCATCAGGTTATCGTAAGGATTAAATGTCTTCATAAATGTCAAGAAGACAGCCTGGCGCATAGTGAGAATGAGAAATGCATTCAGTATCCTAAGGACCCTGAGTACCTAACAATGGTTAAGTCAACCATGTCGTATCTGTTTCATAGACCTCATGCGGCCCTTTAAAACGACAGTTTTGAAGTCAACAACTGAGGACTTTTATGTGTTTTAGAAGGAAGATATGAAATTATATGAATACTATGATTATGGGTATATAAACAAAGACATACATATTAAAAGTATACGACGAAGGAAATTCTGATACATACCGCAAAATGGATGAACCTTGAGGAATTCAGTGAAATAAGGGGCGCCTGGGTGGGTGGCTCCGTCAGTTAAGCATTTGACTCTTGATTTCAACTCAGGTCATGATCTCACGGTTCATCAGTTTCAGCCCCAAGTTGCCCTGAGGCGCAGAGCCTGCTTGGGATTCTCTCTCTCACTGTGTCTCTGCCCCTCCCCTGCTTGTTCTAAATAAATACATACATACATACATACTTAAAAAAATGAAAGAAGCCAGTCACGCACACACACACACACACACACACACACACAAGAACCCCAAATACTGTATGATTCTGTTTATCTGAGGCACCTAGAGAACTCAAATTCATAGAGACAGAAAGCAGGGTGGGGGTTCCCAGGAGCTGGGGGAGGGGGAGGCTAGTGTCTGATGGGTGCAGGGTGTCAGTTTTGTAAGACAAAGATGTCCAGGGATGCATGGTGGTGATGTTGAGTAACCATTGAAGTCTGATGCTATTGAACTTTATACTTTCAAATGGTTAGGGTGGTACATTTTGTTGTGTGCATTTTACCACAATAAGAATATATGTAAGATGAAAATTATCATACGAGAGCACCAAGTGTGTGTTTTTCTCTAACTTTCTAATAGTTGCATAAAAACATTTAAAGCATGCTTTAATTTCCCTCAGTCATTAAGATTTCATCTCTTAGGATTCCTACGCCAGCTATGATGTCAACGGAAATGATTATGACCCATCCCCACGATATGATGCCAGCAATGAAAATAAGTATGTCACTTTGTCTCCTCTTTCCTTACTTGCCTGTCCCTCTCCCTACAGAATCACTATTGAACTGGCCCCCAGTAGGGATTCCAGAAGGGTGATGGGGCAGCCTGGCCAGTGTCTGGGACTAACCCGGGAGCCAGAAGCCAGACCCGCACAGCTCTTCAGGCCCAAGACACCTTCTGTGGACTTTGTGTCTTAGGGAAGAAGCAAGAAATGAATGTTCAGCTAGAAATGGATGTTGGCCAACATTGTTCCTGTTTCCAGCCTTTTCAGAATATTGGAAAGGAATAGGCCTTGAATCTAGTGGTCTCCATGACCAATTGTGTTAAGACAGCAGTTGGGCCTATTGGAACACAGAGGTCACATGCTGGGCTTTTTTTGTCGCCACTTGTGACCTTATGAGAGAGGTGGGGCATGCATGAGGGATGTTGGATAAATCTGGGTTCAAACCCCAGCTCTACCATTCCTGGCTGTGTGGCTCCTTCTCAGTCTCTTAGAGATTTTGCAGTGGACACAGTGCTCCCTATCTCCCAGGGTTGTAGGCGGGCGAGCGGACAGGCGAAGACCGCATACGCATATTGTGGGCGTGCAGCCTCCATGGTTTTTCCCATCACTTTGCAAATGAAGGCGGCAGGATCTGGAGAGCTAGGTGACTTGTGTGCTGTTAGTGGCAGTCCTGGGGGTAGCGTCCAGCTTCGCAAACCTGCTCCTGGGAGTTCACTTTGCTGCGTCCTGCTTTTCTTCTCTCTGCTAGCGTGCCCCATGCCCTAAGCTCTTACCATCCCTCCAAAAATATTTAGAGGAAAAGAACAAAAGCCCTTTTCTTCCCTCCCTCTTCTAACATGATGCTTGCCAAGGTGCATTCTCCCTCCATATAGTGTTTTGCTTTTCTGTAGAGTCCCTGGTGAGGTTCAAATACTGGTGCCCTCTCTGTGCTGTGCAGGGAGGTTTGGCCAGGCTCATATGTTCAACACAACAGACACAGAGCTCCCCAGAGCCCGCCAAGGCCCCAGCCCTGAGGGCTGCTTTCCTGCCTCACGTCCCAAGGTGCCCCTTCCTGCTCAGCAGCGAGCACGCCTGGGGCACAGGGTGCCTCATTTCCCCGCCACACATCCAGGGGGCAGGGAGGAATGATCCAGACGCGATGCAGTGACCCATGAAGGATAGGATTGAATCTGGGCGAGACATGGAGCTCCGTGACACTGTGAACAGCCCTGGCCGTGGGGCCACACGAGGTCCGCAGAAGGACAAATGACCCCCCCACCAGAGGGTAGCACGCAGACCGAGGACTCTTTTAAAAGACGGTTTTAAATTTGAATCAATGATTCTAATCCCCTGTGGACCCTCCTCAAAGATGTGCTGCTTAAACTCGCCCGTATTTTGGCCTCTGCTAGAGGAATTGCCTGGATGCAGCACGTTGGAAAATGGAGTCATTACCGAGGAAAGCAATTTGTTTTTTTCTGGTAATTTCTTCATAGTCCCTCCGCTACTGTTGAGTGTCCAATTTCGAGCACTCTTCCTCAGCTCCGGCTTAAATGGCCATGGAGGTGAAGGGGGGGCTCTCTGCAAGTGAGCATGGGGGTGGCAGGTACACAGGGAACACATTTGTTCTTTCTTCCGTCCCGTCAGCCGGGCAGATGTTTACACCACACCTGCAGTGTGCCAAAAGCGGTGTGTTGTCAGTCGTGTGAATGCATAGCTCGGGGTGGGGGAGCCCGGGGACCCTGGGTGCTGGGAGCAGGAGCCCCTCACTTCGGCCTGGGGGTTATGGGGAAGAGCCACCCCTGAGCAGGTGCTCGCAGTTTGCGGGGTGGCGGGAAGGTCCTGTTTGTCTGCCTGTCCGTGCCGGTGTGGCGGGGACAGGACCGCCCAGGTCTATGCAAACCCTGGCCTGATGCCCCCTCCCAGAGGAGCCAGCCATGGGGGGCAGGGTAAGTGGTGTCGAGGAGAGAAGGAGGCAGGACATAGGCTTTCGTGTCCCATCTGGACTTAGGGATAACTGACTGTCCTTGTAGGAGACCCGAGCCTTGCACCGAACCCGCTACAAATCGGGGGGCTGAGCCCTGACTCTGTTTTCTGCTCTGCTTCAGACACGGCACCCGGTGCGCAGGAGAGGTCGCTGCTTCAGCCAACAACTCATACTGCATCGTGGGCATAGCATACAATGCGAAAATAGGAGGTAAGGTCCGGGAGCACACAGCCTGGGAGCTTCAGGGCCCGCTGCAGGGGCGCTGGGGGTCCCTCCCTGCAGGGCTCAGCAGCTGTGCCTCTGGCCTTGGCCTGGCCACAGCCTGAAGCCTCGTGCCCGTGTGCCACGGCCACGCAGCCAGCACTCAGTGCTCAGGACCTGGAGGCAGAGGCATCGCTCACTGTTTTGGCTGAAAAGCCATCAGAAAGGCACCCTCTCTCTCTTTTCCGATCCTGCTAGTCTGACTCACCATGGTCAACCAGACCACGTTGGTTCCCTGCTGCTCACAGCCCTATGGCGGCTCCCTGTGACATTCACAACCCACTGTACTGTCTTTACCTGGGATCAAGGCCTTTCATTGCCCCAACTCCTGCTCGAGCCTGGTGGCCCACTTCTCCTGCCCCTGCCCCTCAGCATTAGCCAAAGGACATTTGTCATAGTGTCCCCCAGTCACATGTGCTCTTCCCAATTTACGCCTGGACTTGGAACATTCTTCCCATCACCCCAAAGAACTCTCCCCGCCTCTCCCTTTGGCTCAGTCCACTCATGACTTATGGGCAGCCCATGGCAACTCTGCTTCATGAAGTGTCCCCTGAATGTAGCTGTCCTGCCATCTTGTTCACTACAGGCAATGGGGGTCAGCTCTTCCAGGTCCCTGTAAGGAGCAATGTCAAACAGTTACGACATGGTTGACTTAACCGTTGTTAGGTACTCAGGATCCTTAGAATACTGAATGCATTCCTCATACTCACTATGTGCCCAGCTCTCTTCTGGACAGTTATGAAAACCCCAGGTGTTTCTGCTTCCACTTTTGGGCTTCCCCATTTGTGAGTGAAGCCACCCTTGCTAGGAGAAGGCTTGAGAACAGTCTGCCTTCCCCACCTGAGCCTGGCAGTTTGACAATTCAGACTGGCAGTCAGCAAGTACTCCGAGGTAATGAAATGACTGGGAACTGAGCAGGTACATGCCATGAGCGTGAATGGTCCCTGACCGTCCAGATGGTTTGGGGGCACCACTGTCCTCACATGGGACTCTCAGTTTGGAGGTGCTCATGCTCATTCAACGGCATGCGAGGATGCTGCCTTCCCTGCTGCTTTGCCTTTGCTCAGATGACTTTGCCTTTTGTCTTTGACCCCCTCAGGCCTACTATGAGCCGCATAGGTGGAGAGGTTGGGCCATGGGTTCTCTGGATCACCCAGTCCTTAGGGGACTTCTTGAATTTTGAAAAGAGAGTCCTCAGCTTTTACTTAACTAGTATGCCCTGCCTGCCCTTTCCCTTGGAAATCTTTGAAGTGACTCGGATTTATCATTTTATGATAGCATTAACCACCAAGGGTATGTCCGGCAGACCAAATCTGGACACTCTGTCACCTGGATGCTCCTTTGTGGACAGATGTTGAGATGTTTTAAGTTCTCCCTGGAGGTTCTAATGCATGAATACTCCTAAGAAGTCTCTCCATGAACTGTAGGACCAGGGTGACCCTGGAACCAATCCCACTCCTACTACCCACTAGCTGTGCGTCCTTGGACCTCTCTGAGCCTCGGTTCCTTCACTTGTGGAGGAAGAATGGCAGAGTCAGCTGGCCTGCTGGGTCTGTTACAAGGATGAAGTGAGATGCCATGCATGAAAGCATTGGCTCAGGGCTAAGTCTGCAGGGAGCCTCTGAACAATTCCATTCCTCCTTCTGGAACTCAGAGGCAGAAAAAAAAGTGATTTGCGCTGTTGTAAGTGAGAGGTGAACCCCACCTTTGGGGTTGTCTGAGCCCTGCTCCCCCAAAGACCCTGGACTGGTACCACTGACATTCTCTGGGAGCTATTAAAAGTGCAGAATCCTAACCCCCATCCCAGACCTACTGAGTCAGGATCTACATTCTAATAAAATCCCAAGAGGGTGTGACAAAAATGACAGTTTGAGAAGTGCTGGTGTAGAGGGTTCTGGAGTCAGGCAGATAGGTAACACCTATATTGTGGACTGCGATGAGCAGCCAGCAGAGTTAACGGAGATAAAGAACCTCCAGAGAAGTACACATGAATATGGTTTGTTCTTGCTCAAAGAGATTTGCTCCATACTCATTACAAAATTGTATACCCAAGTTGCCCAAATTCTGAAGAGATCACTTCTATGACCAGGGCTGGAGGACAGGAATATATTTTAATAATGCATTTAATATCTTTGAGCATGAACTGTACACTATGATACTGTGCTCACCATCAAAGGGGAGAATAAGGATAAGACCGACACAACCCGGGACCCCCAGGAGCTCCACGGGTCTTTGGGATGAACAGCGTGAACACAAAAGACAGTATGGGACCAAGTACTGAAATGACAGAGGCAGACGGGGTCCCAAGCGTGGCAGGGCAAGCACCTAGTGAGGGAAGAATCACAAGGACACGGCACAAGCTCAACACGGTAGAATTCAACTGGGAATGGAGGAAGTGCAGCTGACAAAATAGGATCTGCAGCATGGAGCGTGCCACAGAGGGTTAGGGGCCATGGGGTGGGGCTGGCCATGGAGGGGCAAGCTGGCATTGACCCGGGGAACTTGTGGCACCTATGTCCCGAAAGATGCTTGTACACGGGCAGCCACCCCTTCTTCCTCCAAGCCCACCCCTGGACAGGGCAACCTTCAGGCACCCCTAACAGACTCCCTCTCTGAGTCTGCATACCACAGAATTTCTGTGAGATGCCCATGGAACTGACCATGAGCTTGGCCCTTTAACTTTTTGTTGTTGTTGTTAGCTGTTGCTCGAGAAATTAAAGCGTTATCCTAACTTATTCCAATCTACCTGGAATTACTAGTATACTACTTCATGTATCATGTATGAGCCTAAAACAGATTATTTGAATTCACACTCACTCTCATCCTTTGTGCTGTTGTTTTTATATTTTACTTCATGTGTTATAAACCCATATGCATTGTTATTCTTGCTTTAAACAGTTGACTTGGAAAATATTAATGGCAAGGAATACATTTACCTACATATTTACCATTCCCAGTGCTCATCCTTACTTTCTAGCTTTGGATTTCTATCTGCTTTCAATTTTTCTTTAGCCTGAGAATTTCTTTTCATGTTTTTTGAGGTGCAGGTGTACTGGTAACAATTTACTCTGCATTTATCTGAAAATGTCTTTATTTTGTTCTCATTTTTTAAAGTTTATTTATTTTGAGAAAGAGAGGGAGAGAGAGAGCACACACAGGCAAACAGGGGAAGGGCAGAGAGAGAGGGAGAGAGAGAATCCCAAGCAGGCTCCGTGCTGTTACACAGAGCCTGACTCAAGGCTTGATCTCACAAACTGTGAGGTAATGACCTGAGCCGAAATCAGAATTGGACACTTAACCAACTGAGCCACCCAGGCACCCCCTATTTCATTCTCACCTTTAATTTATTTTTTAATGTTTATTTTTGAAAGAGAGAGAGAGAGACAGAGCACAAGTGGGAGACAGGGGAGCAGGCAGAGAGAGAGGGAGACACAGAATCCAAAGCCAGCTCTGTCAGCACAGAGCCTGACATGGGCCTCAAACCTGTGAACCATGAGATCATGACCAGAGCCAAAGTCAGACGCATAACCAACTGAGCCACCCAAGCACGCTTTATTCTCATTTTTGAAAGAAATTTTTCTGCACATAGAATTCTAATGTGACAGGTTTTTCTTTCAACACTTTAAAAATGTTCTTACATTGTCTTCTGGCATCCATTGTTTCTGATGATGAGTCCATTATAATCCCTGTTGTTGTTCCCCCTTTATGTAATGTGATTTCTTTTTTTCTTTCTTTCTGTGTTTTGCCTGTGACTACAATGCCCTTTGGTATAATTTTCTTCATGTTTATCTAGCTTGGGGTTTGCTTTGCTTCCTAGTGGCTTGTTCTTATTTTTTGGTCTAAATCAAACGTGGAAAAATTTCTGCTATTGTTTAACTTTTTCTCAACCCTATTTTCTCTCTCCTCTCTTTGGGCATGGATTATAGTTGTTAGATTCCTTGATACACCTTACAGGTAATTAAGGCTGTGTTCATTTTTTTAAGTCCTTTTTTTCTCTGTGTGTTGCAAATTATATGATTTCTATTGCACTATCCTCAGGTCCATTAATACTATCTTTTGTTGTGTCTAGTCTGTTGTTAAATCCATCCAGTGATTTTTTTTTTAAACTTTCAGATCTTGTGCCTTCCTTTTGTCAAAGTCCATTTGACATCTTTTTACTGTTTCCAAATCTTTCCTGAGATTCTTCTTCTCTTCACCCATTATTTCTATCTTTTGTTTTAGATTCTTTAATGTATTTAGAAGAGTTACTTTAAAGACTTATTCTACTAATTCCAATATCTGGGTTATTTGTGGTTATTTCTAATGGTTGAGTTAGGAATAGGGTCATATGCTCCTGTTTCTTTGCTCATGGCTGGTAAATTTTTACTGTGTGCTAGCCATTGTTGTGCTACATTGTAGAGACTGCATTCTATGATCTTTGAATGCTGTACAGTTTTGTTCTAGCAGTCAGCTCAACTTGAACTTGTGATGGTTTGGTTATTAATTTTTTTATGGTTGATCTCTTTCTGATTTGCTCTTAGCCTTAGGGAAAATTCTTTATCCCAACCACATGGTCTTTACTCTTAGATTGTGACCCTTTGGGCATTTCAGTGGAAAGACTGAAATGTTTACCAAAACCTCTTACTTGGCGAGACTCAAACGCCAAATTGACTCCCCTGTAATGGGCAGCAGCTGAAGTATCTGCTCAGCTCATTCAGCTTCCAGCTGTTCTTTTCCTCTTGAACTTCTTAGAGTCTTTCCCAAACATGTTTAGCTCAGGGGACAGCTAAGTGTTTGAGAGGAGTTTATATGTCCTCTTCTGTAGCTCTCATCTTTCTGAGATTTATCTCAATTTCCAGCTGCTCTAGCAGTCCCAAACTCTATCCCATACTCCCCAGGAGAGCTAGATTGCACTTTCCTGCTTGAGTTCTAGCCTCTCCATATGAAGAGAATTGGGGAGTTCCCCCAGA